CGCTTTGTTACCCAGGCTGGAGTGCAGTGGTGCAATCTTGGCTCACTGCAACCTCTGCCTCCTGGGCTCAAGTGATTCTCCTGCCTTAGCCTCCCAAGCAGCTGGAATTACAGGCGCGTGCCACCACACCCGCTAAGTCTTTATTTTTCATAGAGACAGGGTCTTGCCACATTGCCCTGACTTGTCTGAGATTCTTGACCTCAAGCGATCCTCCTGCCTCGGCCTCCACAAGTGTTCTACCGTGCCCGGCCCCAAGTGTGTTTTCATATTACCACCATGCATGAGTCCACGAAAAGCAGCTCGCCTTAGCCTACAGGTTTTTAAGCTTTACACAAATGTTCTCCTTCCTTCTTCATCCCACCCTGCTCTGGAAGCTCAGGTACCCCTGGTTCTCCGTGGGACCCACTGGTGGGGCCACATCTCTCCACTGCAGGGTACTGTCTTCATTTTGGCCATTCTGAAGGCTGAGTTGGTTGCTGGGAGAACTCTAAGTGTGTGGGGTTTTCCACCAGCTCTGTGATCGAATCCCTCCACTTCTCCTGGTGTATATTTTTGTGGTTGTTCTGGAAACCCACTGCCACTTGCATTCTTGTAGGTAATAGGACATTTTTCCCACATTGCTTTAAAAATCTTCTCTTCATGTTCAACGTTCCGCTGTTTCATTCTGACATGTCTGCGTGTGGACTTACTTCCATTCCTCCTGCTCAGGACTCACCATGCTTCCTGAGGCTTATGTCTTGGATAATTCTGGAAAATGCCCAGTCATCAACTCTCCAGCATGCCCCTCGTGAACCCTCACTGCGCGAGCACTGGGCTCTTCCCTCCTCTCTCAGCCCCTGACCCTCCTGTCCCATCCTGCCACATTTCTGTGCTGCATTCTGGGTCGTTCCCCAGGCCTGCCGTCCTGTTCCTTAATCCTTTCTCCAGCCGTGTCTACTCTGGCACTTAATTCATCCCTGGAGCTTTTAATTTTAATGATAATACTTCCACAAGCTCTACATTTTTTAAATCTGTTGGGATGTTTTTTCATAGTGTGGTACTTATGTTTCTAATTCTGTCATGCTTTGAATAATTTACAATATTATAATTTGTATCAATTATTCAACGATTTGGCATTATTGAGGGTCTGCCCTGCCTTTGTTGTATCTCTGGACTCTTGCTATCTGTGGAATGCGACCTTTTGTGGTTCACAGTTTGCGACTGTAAGATAGTCTTTGGTGGGTCTTGATTTTTGGGAATTTTTTTAGTTGTGACAAAGAATGTGGACCTCCCCTCCAAAGTGACCGACTGGGTCCCCGCACCGCACTGGCCTCCCACAGCTCGGAGTCACCCAGGGTGACTGCTCACGGCTGTCGTCAGGAAGCTTCCTCATGGCACCTCCAGGCTCCTCCCCACTGTGCTG